TTAAAAGAAAACATCCTGCGTAAAATATGCCCCTTTCATGATCATCAACAGTCACCTTAGTTTGGCAGTATGATAAAATAGACTTTTGTGTTCTTTTTGCATTTTTTTTCCATTTAGCAGTGACTTTGCCTAATCCACTTTTAATAAAAAGGAAAAATTCGAAAGCGAATACTTTTCCTTAGTATTTGTCTAGGAAAATCTCTTCTTGGCACTGATTACCTCTCAGCCTTCTCTCTATTCATATGATCTCTTCAGATACCATAAATAGATGGTAGTTTGAGAGTGCAGAGGATTTTAACCTCAGTCCATAAATAATTGCACTTTCTTGCAGGTCTTGGTGAATGATGATGATGAATATCCCACTTTCTGATTCTTGGACCCCTTCCTGTAACTGTTGCACTGCGGGCACAGCAACATTTTATTGCTGCTCCTGTAGTTCTTGTCTGCCCTTGCAGAGTGTCAGTAACTTTTCTGATGCTGCTAGTAACTTCTCCCCTTTTCCCCTGCTTTGTTCTTCTTTTCTGGAGCCTGTAGCAGGAAGATGGAAGATGGCTTGGATGCTCGAGGACCTCCATACAGGAATTTGTTCTCAATATTTATCTAGAAGTGTGCAAATACTTATATCTGTGCTAATCACATTTCAAAACAAAAGCTCCTCACACAGTATACACCTGATGATAGGGAGAGTTGTCCAATGGCAGTAGCCTAGACAGTCACTGTAAAATTACTGAATCCTACAGAAGTACATAATCAGTCCTGCATGTTAGCTGTCAAGGAGGTGAAACAAGTTTAGATTTAAATAAAATTAATCCACTTAATTCTGGGGGGCTCTTTTGCATCTCTCAGCATCCTGGACAAGACTGCCGTTTGCCACGATCCTTCTTTGGTCAGCGAGAATTTGTTTTCCTTCTCAAAGCAGCTGGTTGTTCAAACTGTACAGTGATTTTTGTTTGTAAATAAAAGTATGTCTTTATTGTATCTTAACAACAGAGGCTGACATTTGCTTTGGGAACCAGTGTGGATTTCTGGTTTGGTTGGATATTTTGATGTAAGCCAAAGGAAAGAGTTTACTTAAAGCTAAGCAGATGAGAAAACATTTACATGAAAGCCTGGAAAAATTTCTTAGTGATGAAGTTGAAAGCAGGAATATTTCCACTGCATTGTAATAAGACAGGGGCATTCCTTCCTTTTGTACATATTTGTGTGAAAAAAGAGTGTTGGAGAACATGTGGAGCGCAAGATGAATGCAGAAGGATTTGCTTTCTGGTGTTCTGAGGCTAAGAAAATATGCAGACAGTCTTATTTTGCTGACAGCCTTGCCATTGAGACATCCAATTTTAAAGAGACTTTCCGTAAAATATATGAGCCACAGTGTTCAGTCTGTCACAATTGCATGGGAAAAAAAGTCATCCAAAAGGCATCCAAAACAGAAGGATCTGATGTGTACAGAAAAGGAGGATCTGTTAGCAAAGACTCTTGTATCAATCTCTGCAAAGTAGTAGTTCTAGGAGCTGGCAGCTCCACTATGTTTTTTATATGAAAGTAATAGAATTATACACTTGGGTTGAATAACTGAGCTAGTTGACATGTATTATTGAAATGCAGCTGAGGGGTAGGAAGCAGAGAGGGTGCAGGGCTCCAAAACTGAAGCTGTTTCTCTTCTTGAACTGAGGTGCTCGAACTTGAACCTTTTTCTTTCAACTGCCTAGGATTATTTCTGTTGTTAAACTGGTGTCTGTGGAGTCAGTCTGTGTAATAACTGAGACGAAGGCCTAATCCCTCTCCAAGGCAACCAGACAGCTCAGAAATTAAGGAATTCTGGCTGTTGGATACTTGTCGTGTGACATGGGCATTAATGCTAGTTTATGCTATGATGCCAGTATATAAAACCAGTGTGTTTGGAGGGTTTCAGAAAATGTAGCAAATAAAATACACAAGTTTGCATTGTGAAGAGGTGGAAGTCGGCTGTGTCATCTAGAGGATAATGCTGTGACATGGCTTTGCACTGATACTGCAGTTTCTTTCACTACATCAAGCCTGTTCAGGAAAGAAACTGTAGTGAAAACACGAATGACAGAACTAATGGTTAGGCAATATGTTTGAAAATTTTTTACAAATACTGTATTTCTTTGAAGCTTGTCCAGAATTACTCAGAAACAGTTCTGCCTTATGTGCTAGACAGTGTACAATCATGTCAAGTTTCTGTGTAAATGTCAAACAAATTAAGATGGCTTTGGAAGAATCTGAATATGAAAGGGCAGGATATTTAGCTGTAAATAGAAGGCTTAGGGAAATGTCTTCATGGGCAACAAAAGGAATCCATATTTGCGTTGCAGCTTGATGGCAAATTCAGCAATTTAGTGGGAATATTTGGACAGACTTTTAGCAGTGCTCAGTGTTTAATTATAAATAGCAAAGTTTATATGGCAATGAATTGTCTTGTTGCAGATACTGAAGAAATCTAGGTTTGCTTTAATCTCTGTATTTACCTTTAGTGCATTTTTAAATTTTAAAAAACCTAAACTTCTAACGTCCCCTAGCACCAGTGGCACTGTTGTTCTCTTCTGTGTTCCTTCATGATTTTCCCTTACTTGTATTTGAATCCTGTGGGATATAGCTTTTTCATTTTCTTGCATCTATATAGGTGTCTGAACTGGGCAGAAATCCTCGGTTTCTATACCATAAAATGACTCATTCCCACTGATGATAGAGAAGGAGGTTGAACTCGAAGCGCATGAGTACTTCAGTCTAAGTGTGTGAGAGATGACCATTGATTATTTTTTTTCTTTCATTTTGTGGCTACATTGCCAGCTCTGCTAACGCCTGAAACCCTCTGGCATCACAGATAGCAGTGACCTTTTTGTTTGCTCCGGGAGGTGGCCAAGCACTAGAGAAGGTTGTCAAGCTGTACTGTGCCTTGTGGACAGGTCGCACGTGTGTGAATGGCTGAAATGTCGCAGTTCCTGTGCTGAAACATAAGAGGGATTACTATGTGACTCCTTTATCCTTAGCTGTGTTAACTGTTCAAAATGAATAAGCATAGGGAAAGCATCCTGGATTTTTTTAATCGGTAAATTCTTTACGTTGATACACACCGGACAAGTCTATTTATCCAGAAGGGGCATCTTCTTAATAGTAATTTTTTCTGATTAAAAGCATGGGACTTTCAATATTATCAGAATGGCCTCTGCCATCGTTTCTCCTGATTTCAGTTGCAGCACAGTAGGCTGACAGACAGTACTTTGTCCAGTCTGATCTCTGATTTTAGAGCTACCTACCTACACTTTTTTTTCCCAAATATATTAGGCAGTTTATTTGTGTTAATCACTTTCTACAGTTGTAGTGCAAGGCTTGTAAAATTTGCAATACTATATTAGTAGCTTGATTTAAAGAAATACTTTCAAACAGCTATAATTTGTAAAGATTACAGGCACTCTGCGAGGTACTGTAGCATTTTTTCAAGTTATTTGAAACTTTCAACTCATGTTGAACCATTTATAGTTCTCAGAAAACTTTGTGTCCTTATTCCTTTTTATTTAAATATGTATGCATGTGATGTCTAGGAAAGCTGTTTTATAATTTGGAATCAGTTTGAAATGAAGAAGAACTATGATTTTAATTTTATGCCTGAATTTACTGTATGATACCTTTTGCATACCTGATGTTTGTCAACTTCATGATCTGGAGCAGATGGTAACATCATCTATTTGTCACTTTATTGTTATTCTTATTCCAGGAATGCAGTTTCATGAATTTTGGGAAGAGATGAACAGAGTTATTTCAGACTCTGAATTGGTGTCTGGTATTCCCTACTCATCTGTAGTACCAGGACTGATACAGTATCTTCAGAGCATCACCAAACTTGTAATATCAGTGCTGCCTGTGACTGCAGATCTGGACATCCAGGGCAGCGGTTCAGCTGCTGCAAAGAAAATGTCCAAGCCATCATTGTCAATAGCTCATCTTCTTCAGTGTGACTTTCATGAAGTACGTCTGCTTGTGTTAGAAGCAATACTGCTGTGGTTGAAACAAAAAAATTCCAAGCAGATTACAAAAGGAAGAAAAGGTGTATTATGTTTACTCATTGATTTGGAAGACACTCTTCTCACAATGGCTCTGAAGGAAACGAATCACCAGTGTTTTTGCAAGGTAAGAGAGTGCTACTTTATTGACATTTGTTATGTTTTCAGTAAATTATATTCTTAATTTTTAAAGTTATATTTCAGACATGCATTATGTTTTTTAAATAGTAGGTGAGTGGTTGGGTTTTTTTTTTCATTGAACAGGAGCTGTGAAATAATTCTGTAACAGATGTTCTTGTGTAAAAGCAAGAACTTCCTCTTTTCTTTCTTAGTGCTATCCAGAGAGAATCTTTGTGTTCTTGGAGTGAGGTTTAAGTTGGTGTTTTATTGATCTCAAATGTGCACATTCATGTTGAGACTGTCCCTAAATTCTTTGTTTGTGAATTGTGTCTGCAGGTACTGGAAATTCTTTATAATATGGATCTTAGAAATGTGCTTCCAAAGACTGAATGCTCTATAAAAATGAATCCAAATGAGCTCTTAACCTGGAGTTTAAACCTTGTAGATATCTCTAACAGGTATGGTCTTTCATGAATGTTGAAATACTTATATTTTTAAAACTTTAAACATTGAAACATTAATTTATTGGTTTGAGACTACCCTTTAAAAATCCATGTTTCAGAAAAGTGAATGTGGCATGTTTGAATCAAGAGAGTTCTTGTGAATTTTTCAAAGACATTAGACATGGATCTGAATTATTAGAAAGGCCCACAAGTCATATGGGAAAGCACCCTGTAAATGTCCAGTAATACAGTTCCTGAAATAAGAAGTTGCTCTAGCTGTCCAATGATAGCCAGTGAGCATTGTTCTTCCTGAATAGTAATTGGGAAACAGCTGATTTAACTTTGAATTAATAATTCAGACATACACTCATTTGCTGTGAATGTGCCATCCATTGTATCCTGGTTTATGTGCAGATGATTTGTAGAAAGAGTAACAGATCTCATTTAACTTCTTGGATTGGCAGAAATAGTTCATCCTAATCTGTAGGATTTACACTCCCTATTCAGACTGTAAAGTCTGCAGAAAGCACTGAAAATTTGGATCTAGTTTGTAGTTTGTATTGAATTAGAGTCTGTGTTCATCCATTCATAATGGAATGAAGAAACAGGGTTAAAGTGTCCAGGCTCTATGGGTTTGACATCCTGTTTCTAGTAGTTTTTTAAGCCATATAAACATTGAACCCGAGTGTTACCAATGGTGAATATTTAGGGTACAGAGTGTAGAACAGCATTTCATAACTATGCACATTTGCTGCTGATTTGCACTAAATTGTTCAAGCTTAAATGATTATGGTGGGAGGTGGTCATTTCTGGAATGAAGTAAGATACTGGTGGTAAAATAACACTGAGTGATGCTGTTAGAGGGAAATAGCTGAACTGGCAGGCCATACTGCTCAGGTGTTGCCATTCCCCATGGTGAGACTATCCTTTAGAAACCACGGTGCCGAGAGCCGCATGGAGGCTCGGAAGGTGGCAGTTGGCATATTCTGCATCTGGAACATTCCTAGCAGCTGTAGGAGAGATATTCTTGCAGCTTAACAGCAGCTTGAAGAGGTGCTTTTGTTTATCATTTAAAATAATGTCTGGTTTATTTGACTTGGGTTCCATTTTCAAATGTGTTTTTCTGTAAGAAGTATTGTAAATAGAAAATAAACATGAGAGAGGTGAAAGTAAAGGCATGTTTCATTTGCATATCAACTGAAAACTTAGCTAACATCAAGATCTGTAATGTAAAAACTCCAGGTGCTAAGCCTGAAAAATATCCACTGGTGATAATCAGAAGTAATTAAGAGCTGGCTAATTTTCTTCTAGAGATGAGATGATGGCATAAATAGCTGGATTTTTTTGATATGTCCTTTGCCTTGTTTTCTCAGCTCTGAAGGTCAAATCATAGCTCTCAAATTTGCCTCCAAGTTGATTATCCATCTTTTGCAGAACCATCATCAGGTAAGGGAAATGGAGCTGCTTAAGAGTTTTGTAATCTGGAGTTTTTTGTGATTGTAATAATGTGGATTCTTTTAGCCCCAATCTTGTGTTTTCTTGTGTCCTTGCACCTTTTTTGGTGTTTTATCTTCCTCTCTGAATGCAGTGCTATGTACTGAAATGAAAAAGCCATGAATATCATCTCAGTATATCCCTCTCAAAGTCATTTAAACTTAAATGCATAAGTAAATATTTCTGATGGATTAATTTCAACTTCTGAGCTCATCTGAAATGGTCACTGTAATGTGGAAAGGGAAATGCCTGCGGTGATTAACGCTTTTTCTGAATCCAGCCCATTTACTAAAGTGCAACTTTGTTGTGGTTTCTGATTGCTGTGGAGCCCACAGCAGAGCAGGTCGGATGGGAAGCTGAAGCAGTGGTTGGGTGCAGTTCCCAGCCAGCTCAGATTTCTTTTGATTTTAAATTGTCAGTCTGTGATGTCGCATATGTATGTGTAGAGCAGTGCAAAGGCAGCTTATAGTGCTAGACATTTTAAAAAATATTTTTGAAGACACAAAACCCATTTAATGGATATTTTAAAATAAAATTCTCATGATCTGTATTAAAATGAAGATTTTTTTTTCCTTACATAGATGTTATTTTTCACAGAGTGTACAGCAGAATGAATTCATATTGTATGCTAATAATCTGGTCTCATTATGAAAAAAAAAGAAAATCTCAGATTTACACACAAGAGTTGAGGAAGTGAATTATGATGTTAAATATTTTTGTTAAAGAAAGGCATAATATGATGACTTCAAGTTTAAAATAACAAAGAGGAATTAATGAAAAAATGCTGTAACAATATTAACTAGTAATACTAAAACAATTTTCTCTAGTAAGCATGTAAATCATGGGAGATCCAAGATATCTCTACAGAGAGAGCTTTCTGCTTAGTAAAAGAACAGGTACCTCAGTTTTCCCTCTAAATTCCTTCTTTGGGCTTCAGTATTTGCGTCTGTGAAAGGGATTGTTTCTCTTCCATAAGGTAAAAGTTGAGTTCTGTCTTTTCTAGATAGATGTGTCTGTTTGAAATTTGAGTAATTGTAACATCTTAGGAGATTTTTATGTTTTGTTTTCCCCTGTTGCAGAATCTGTGGGACGTGCTCTGTCCCTTTGTGCAGTGCAGGTGCATGGCCATGTACCACACAGAATGAGACAGAGTATGACTGAAGTTGCATTTATTACTCAGTTAGTGAGGAGTAAGCCCAGAGGGTTGTAATCAGTGGCACAGGGTCTAGTTCGTCTGTCACTAGTGGTGTCCCCCAAGGTTCACTACTGGGCCCAGTATTGTTTAATTTATTTGTGAATGACTTGGATGAAGCCCCTTTTCTGAGTCCTAGTGAGGCCTTACCTGTGGTGCTGTGTCCGGCTCTGGGCTCCTCAGTACAAGAGAGATATGGAGCTCCTGGAGTGGGTCCAACAGAGGACAACAAAGATGGTTAAGGGACTGGAGCATCTCTCTTACAAGGAAAGGCCGAGGGAGCTGGGCCTGTTCAGCCTCAAGAAGAGACGACTAAAAGGGGACCTCACCAATGTATATAAGTATCTGAAGGGAAGGTGACAAGGATGGAGCCAGGCTCTTCTTGGTGGTACCAGGCAATAGGACAAGAGGCAACAAGCTGATACCCAGGAAGTTCAACCTGAACATGAGGAAGAACTTCTTTACTGTGCGAGTGACTAATCACTGGAACAGATCGTCCAGGGAGGTTGTGGAGTCTCCCTTGGAGATATTCAAGACCATCCTGTGCCATGTGCTCTAGGATGACCCTGCTTGAACAGGGAAGCTGGACTAGGTGACCCACTGTGTTCCCTTCCAACCTCACTCATTCTGGGATTCTGTGAATCTTCCTGTACTTGTCTGCCCTTTTACTTGACTCACCTTTTCATTGATTCGCTTCTTTACCTTATTTTGTTGTTATGTTTTTCACTTCTTTTAATTAAAAATAAGTAAAAAAGGAAAGAAATGAGAAAAAACTCCAAAACTTTAGTTGCACATACCTCAACTGTGTCCCAGTCAAACTGGTGCTGCTTCATCTGTTCTCCTGTGAATGAAGTGCCAATCTGTTTGGGTTTGTTTGGGTTTTTTTCCCTTCTGGAGCTTCCTTCTGATAGCTGTAGCACATGCTGTGTCTGGGTGCCACCTCCTGCATTTTGCAAGTTCTGTTTTCTAACTTTCACTTGAGGTTCCTGCACCTTGACCAACCCACTGCTCTCCTAAGGGTGGCATTTGCAGGGGATCTCAAATCTTTCTTGGTCACTTATGCAAGTTAGGACTTTCTCTTCCCAGTTATGGCCCAGCTGTCCCAATGCAGGGCAGAGTTTACAAGTTTTTGAATAAAGTGCACATTATTTTTTCCACAAAAAATCTAATAGTCATCATTACATATTAGGAAGAGTTGAAGCTTTATCTCATTTTTTTTTACTTAGTAGTAGTTTTCCTTGAATATGTCGGAGGACTAAATGTTTTCCGAAAGATGGCAACTGGATTTTATTTGAACCAGGAAATTTCTCTTTCCTGTTCTTTTTTTCTGATTCTTCATGTTTTAGGACAGTGGGCTTTGCTGTGTATCAGCCAACATGGAGATTTCTTCAATGTTTTGAATGCACATGCTTTCAAAATGAAAGGTACCTTGACAGTCTTATTAAAAAAAAAATTTCCATTTCCAGTATTAGCAGAAGAGAAGAATGGAGCTTCATGCATCCCTTTACCAAGCATTGCATAATTATCAAAGGCTGAGATAGATGGCATCTTTCAAAAGCTTTTAATTGTTTTTTCAGCTATATGTGTGTACCTGTAGAATGCTTCTGAGTATTGCTTCCCTTTGTTATAGTCCAGCATACCGGACTTTGACTTGCATGTTTAGAAGAACTGAAGACACAAAGATATGCTTTGACTTGTGTAGTCATTGGTGAGTCTGGTGTGAAGGGACAGAGCGAGAGAATTGCCTGTGCATAACTGCTCTGAGCGCACCTTGAAAAAAAGTCCACATTTACTAATGAGCAGTATCCCTTCTGCAGCCCGTAGTTCAGTGTGATGGTAAGAGGTTGTACAGCATACTTCTCACATGTTCTGTGCTTTTAGATTTCAGAAAAAGTCTTGAAAAAATGGGTTCAACTGATACTGTATTTTTGTGGAGATGAGCAAGAGACAGAGATGCTGTTAGCAGCTGCTGAAGTTCTTAAAAGTATAACATCATTCCTTCTGATCGGTGAGAAGCTCATTCTTGGTAAGTAGTATTATTTTGTGGATCTTTTTAGATTAAATCCATTAGTACATGACATATATGTATACAATACATTTTATGTACACACAGACAAAACACATAATTACCTCAAATGGTTTTTTTTACATTTTAATAGGATTTAATTACTAAATATGTAGACTTATTTAAATTCTGTTAGAAAAAGCACATGTGCACAGCTTCTTGCAATAACTCTGCAGAAGGGGGACATGAGATGTTGTTATGTCTCCAGGCCACTGTACGTTGCTGTACAGATTTACTACCTTGCAATTGCTCTCTGATTTCAGTCTTTCTGAAATACTGTATTAGTGATGTGGACATACTTTTAGTTTAACACTGTGAGTGTAACAAAGCTGTGCTGGCTGAATGTTGAAGTTAAAGGCTTCAGTGTGGAAATGAGGGATACATTCTGTTGTAAGAATGATTAATAATTGGATCACATTATACCTCCCGGGTACAATGATTTTTTTAAAGTTAACGTTAGGCTGTCTCTTTAGAAAACAAAGAAAGAAAGAAACAAAACTTACACAGTCTTATTCAATAATACTGACCAAGAGGCAAAGCTAAGTGAAACTCTCAGGTCTGTTCTGCATAATACATGTTTTTTTCTTTTAGCTTTTTTGTTTTTCCCTGCCTTCTGTGAATAGAGAATAAGGGGATTTTGTGATTAAGGAGCCAGGAGATATACAAGAATAAGTAGTAACAGATGATGAAGAAATTATTTTGCGTCCTGAACAAGACAGGCAGCAGTACTGCAGTGAGAATTTTAGCAAATCAAGGACATGATCTGGTGTTTAGTTGTAGTGATATAAGGTCAGAATCATTCTCTTAAAGGGGTTATGCACATATAAACAGTTTTGACTTCTACACCTTATTCTGCATCATCTTGCTTGACCACATACAGTAAAAAGTAGAAGTTAGGGAGACAGTGGTTGTGTGGAATGGAGTTGTAGTCGTTCCCATAAGCTTCCATTATTATGCTCATAAGAGGAAGAATGAATGCTGATCAGTATGTTCTGGGTGACCCCATCATTTCTCCATCATGCTGCCTGAGGGTTCAGAAAAAGTCTTTCTGGAAAATCCATTTGCAGACTTCCACCACTGCTGGAGATACTGTAGAAACTTGTCTAGATGGGGCAGCTGGCCATTGAATCTATAAGGGAATAATTAATTATTCTGCCCTAGCTGTGCCAGTGGAACATTATTGAGTGTGTTACGTTAGGAAGAAAAGCAACTTCTTTCTGAAATAATTATACTCCATGCCATTCCCACATAGGGAAGTTGTATGAAATACAGGAATGCTTTCTCTGCCTGTGTAATAAAGCCTTGAGCAATTTATTGTGGCCAAGCAGTGAAATACAATTGTCTGGCTAGCCTTGTAATACAAATGTCTGATAGACCTACTGATAACGTAGTTGAAGAAAACCAGCACAACAATGAACCACCAGCTCCCTTGTTGTCTGTGATCACCAGAAAGTAATATCTAACAGCTGGCTGCATCTAAAAGAGACCTTCTAGAAGATTCCCTTAATGAGGATGTTCTAGAAGACCTGAAAAGTACCCCAGCAAACCTAGGAGCCTTGTGACTTCAGCTGGTCATCCACAGTGTGACAGCACTAAGTGGCACAAGGGTTTGCAAGTGGATTATTGCTTGTGAGATGAGAATTGCCACTGGGGTGGTATATGCTGTCTGCCTGCTTGGGGTCTACCAAGTGAGCACCTCCCTCTGGGCAGTTACCTCTGATTAGTTTTAACTCTGTGTATGTAATTACCCTATGGATTTAACTTGGCTTGATTCCAACAAATAGTGTGAGTGGTGGGGTGAGGTGGATGTGGGAGAAGTAGGTGACGGATAGATCCCTGAGAGGTGGGATCATTTCCTGTTTCCTGCAGGGAATGGCATTTGTATCCAGCACTACTGGCATTATCTGAAGAAAGCTTGGTTTGCTCCAGGCAGATTGCAACAGCAAATTCATGGTCAGAGTGCATTGGTCAATCTCCAGTGGCAAAATTTTTGACATTGCTAAACAGGAGTTCTGCACTCCTAGAAACTAGAAAATTCAGAGCGCTCATGGCTTACAGTTGAGCCCAGATAGAGAGCTCCATTCTCTTACCTGTTTCCCACTGTTTAAACTAAGTTGAGTCTACCATCTAGATAAAGTTCACACATGCTGAAAATACTTTGATCATATTGGCAGTCCTTTTGCCAGTGCAGTGGTTTGTCAGTGTGTTTCTCTCCAGTGCTTCACTGCATTTGTTTTGTTTAGCTGTGAAAACAGAACTCTAACTTCTTTGAATGCATGTAAGAAATAGAATTCTAATTTTTCTCCATAAATAAATGTAGGACTGTCTGATACCCTTGCTCTGTGGAAATGTGTGGTTCTACTGCTGCAGAATGAAGATTTGGTAGTAAGGGATGCTGCTGCTGAAGTTATACAAGTGGCACAGTCTGAAAAAAAGAGCAATGAAAAAACAGGTACGTTAACTTTGCTTTTAAATATTATTGGATAGTTGGGAGGCAAAGGTATTTCTCTTTTCATCACAAACTTCTTGCTAACCGTAAAGTGCTCCATCCATCTCTTATAAATATATACCATGGAAGATAACAGAAAGTTTAACTATGCTTTCTTATTTTGCTTTTACTGTTCTTGGTGTAATTTACATATGGTTACATGGCTATGTGAAAAAAACAACAGCAGTATTCAGCTTTATGGTTCTTGCTGTGATGAGTCAACTACCACATAATTTCACATTTTTAAAGTTCTTTAATACCAGCTTTGGTCTAATATAATGCAGTGGAAGACACTCTTTGAATCCCAGGTCATTATAAGAGCCTGATCACAGAGAGATAGGAATCTAGGAAACAGTATTCAACTCACTGATTCATTATTAGACCTTGAAATCCATTTAGATCCAGATCAACAAAGACAATTCTCAGCATACCCACAATGTGCTTTTGAGGATGTAGGCCTTTTTGTCTGCCTGCCCTAGTTTACTCAACCCTATTAATTTTAAAATAGCCACAAAACTTGAGTAGGCTTAACTAATTAATGTGCTTCACTCTGAGAGTCTTTGCTGACGCATTCTTCCATGTGTTGTGTGTAAATTAGAATTTGCTACCAAGCTCGTCTCTCTCTGGTGGTCCCCACTGGTCTGTGCTACTCAGTAATGCCTGTACCAACTTGTCTGCAGCCAGTTCAAATTAGTCAGCCATCTCCGTGTAAGCTCACGCTAGGCTGGAGATAAAGCAACTCTGTGGTTTAAAAAAAAATAAGAAAAGGCAGCAAAATTATATGTTTGCCACTATGGTAGATAGAAGTAGCCAGGAATCTGCTCGTGTGGCAAGTGTTTTTTTGAGCTAGTGCTGTTCTGGCATAGTGCTATGGGGTAGAAGATGACAGAAGGAGGGATATGTCACGGACTGCTTTCATCCTTCTGTTAAATCCCACATCTCTGACTCCAGCACTGTCATCACAGCTCTGGCAATTTATCTAGTTCCAGCTACAGCTCTCTTGAGTGTCCAGGACTCTCTGTCTGTGTGCCTCAGGTCCCCAGCACTGTTCTTTAGGAGGCATCCTCAAGTGTCTCAGGATGGTACTTCCTTTGGAAATAATACAATGCTGGATTGTCTCTCTGGCTTCTTCTATCTTCTCCCTTCTTCCTTGTTGTATCCCAGTGCCAAGGGATATTTCTCTGTAAGTGGATGAGAGCTCTGTCCTACTAATTAATACTAAGGTCACATCAGTGCTTGCTCTTACAAGTTACCACTTTGCAAAGGAGAAGTGGCCATAATTGAGGAAATAACATCATAATTGTTTTATATTTGCTATGTTCCTAAATAGGATAGGGACCCCTCTCCCCAAACTTCTGTTAACCCTCTAATTACACTTAGTTGTACCTTCCTGTTTTTTCACTTACACTTCTTGTAATGAAATGAGTGTCTTTCCTCTGTGTCTAGAACAGAATGCTGTTTTTGCAAAGATAGAATTCAGTTTCTTTTTGCCTCCATTTTACATCATTATTGTTTCTTCCTGTGTTCTTTTTTCCACACTGACTCCCTTCAGTTTTTGTGATTTGCTTTCTAGTTTTGAGGGAGCAGGGCAAGGAGTTTTACCCTTGTGGTTTTTATTTATAACCAGAATAAAATAAGCTTACCTTTGTATGTTGTTTACTTCCATTTACCCTCTTTCTTTTCATGTGCATATGAGAGTATGCAATATGTTTGGGTCTGTGGTTTAGACATTCCATGGATCACCAGTGCTGTCTGTCCTGGGAATTTTTAAATTACATTCAAATATCTACTTATTTTTCTCAGTTTTCGCACCATGAAAGTCTGATTTTTCATCACAGCACTGATTTTAAAATAATCTAGGCTCATACACTGAAATTCATTAGAAGCCATGAAACAGCTCTCTTTAAACATTTTATTTGATAACAAATTGCTGGATGTACTGCACTGTAGAAATGCGTTATGGTGAGTTTCGTCTTTTACTGCTGTTAATTTGCCACACAGAGGGTAGGAATGCTGCTCACAACATATAAGCACTGGACTTGCCAGAAATTTTGGCACTGGTGTCTTCATATCCACTCTTCACAAAATTCTCTCTCGCACTGTATACACAGCATGTAAGGTAGCAGTAGACTGTAGCTGCCTGCAGAAGAACTGTATTGTCAGCTTGGGGAATCAACACCCTAAGTGCTTCATTTATATGTGAGATCCAGAGGAACCCCTGATTTCCTGCCCCTGCCCTTCCTGTATGCTGGCATCTTGTTTTCCTGTGAAAGAATAGAGTATGAAATGTTGTGCACTTGTGTGTAAAAGCTAGACCGAGGCTGAATTAGTGTCCTGCTTCAGCAGAGCAAGATGTGAAGTTGGACTGATGTTAACTATAACAAAGTTATTTGCAAAGATTGTTCATAGAGTTGTTATAGCACATTTTTCCTTTATGTGCATGTTGCTGAATAACAGTATAAATGTGTAACAGTATGATAGTGTCAAATAATAGGTATTTTCATGTCATTTATAGATGGTGAAACTGGAGGCAAATGATCCTGTCTATTATAGTGTGGTTTCACCTCCAGTAACAGCGCCTATCTTGTGCAATTCTTTGAAATGTTACCGTGAGCTCCTGGAAGAGAATATGAACTTGGTTTCTTGTTATTCCCTCATGGTTTTTAGTGACAGCAAAACCCCGATCTCCTCAAGTAACTAATCCATGGAGCTTTGGATCACTCAAATTATGAAAGCACTAAGCTTACACAGTCTGAAATGCATGGTAACAAATGTGATACAAGAACCCTGTGAAAACTGCAGCCCCCATTTTCGTTTGAAAGGACAAAAGCTCAAAAGACCAAACACTGATACACAGCAGGGCTCCTTGCTCTACCCTACTCTTCAACCCCCAATAAAAACCCTACAAAACCTACTGTTTATTTTTATGGAAGGCAAGGACTTTCATTGTTACCAGTAAATTTCATTTTTTAAAATTTATTTTATTCATACAGAGAAGCTTGTTTTAATTTTGTAGTATGTGCAAAAGCTCATAATTAGGAGGGGAAGTTACTGAGGTTGGCTGACAGCAGTCATTTTCTGAGCAGAGCAGGTCAAACAGAATCCTGTCTTACCAGAAAGGAGAAAAGCTTTTGTTTTCCTTGCTAAAAATACCAACTTAGCAGGTAGTTAAGGTTTTCCTAATAACTTGAACAATATAAATCCCATTTGTAACTCAAGGTATTGTATGTACACTTTGTTGTTGTTTCCTCATGCATTGAGGTGTAAACCTCTCGGGGATTGTTTTATTCCTTTTAGTATGAGGGAGGGTACAGGAAGTATTGTATTCAGTGTAAAGGTAGAATAGCTGCTTTGAAATCTAATTAAATTAGTGACCCATGGCTGTGTAAAGTCTAGACCTATTCATAGCAGCATTTCTTATACAAGAGAGTTACTCCTCACATTTAAGTCAGGGAAATAGGAGGGGTTTTTCTCTACTGATGATTGCTTTACTGAATATCCTGAAAAATTCAAGTAACTGCTGCAACAAAAACTGTACTTATTCAAGTCATTTTCCTCTGTGACTTTTTTTTATCTAGAGAACTATTGCCTGAAGTTATGAGCTTGTATTAGAGAAATTTGAATAAACTAATTTTTTTACTATTATAGCTAAGCCAATGCAATTCTATAAAATTCTATATAAAAAATACCTTTAGTCAGCTTAACCTTTATGTTGGTAAATTACCAAATTAACCTTAAAATGAGTTTAAGAGCATTTTTAGTGTCGTCAGCATTAGCACCAATTTAGCTGATTTTTAAAATTGAGCTGAATTAAGCTTAGATGAGCAATTAGAATTGCAAACTTGAGTAAATCCTTTGAAAGTGCCTGAATGATTTAGCAGCCTAAATGCTCTTCTTGAATATAATTTAGGCCTTCAGGAACCTTCTGCCGTGTGTATTGTGAAATAGCAGTTTTATATAGAGATGAGCAAGTCCGTTCATGGACTATGAGCTGTGTGGCTGCAGCAGAGCATTGTTCAGCCAAGGGTGGGTAAATGGCCCACTGTGAGCACCACCATCACTGGGTGCAGTGTAAGCATCTCTGAAAATCAGTCTAATGTTGTTATTTCCCTCAGTTTTTGAGTAATTCTGAAAATGGGATTGTGGCTATAAATTATGTGGTCAGTATTAATCCACTGGCCAAAATTTCAGGTGTATTAAACCCAATCCTTCTGCTCCCATTTCACATGCTTAAGAAATAATCAAGAGATGATACTCCTGTGCCAGGAGTTTCTGAACAAAAGGCAATGCAAAGCTGTCTTTTCTTTTCTTGATGGTTGTTCCCTTCTTGATAGATTCTACTTTTTATCTTCAATGACAAATGTCCTGTTTTTTTTCATTCACCAGAAAAAAAACAAACCAAAACATATTATTAGCTGGCTTGTTTAAAGAAGCTGACTCCACCTTCTGAAGGGCATCCTGTTGGGAAGGGGCTGGCACTACGGAGGAGACTGAGTTGAGATTCTGATGGAAGTCTTCATTGCTGAGTATTAACCTGTATTTTAGTGGCCCACAGTATTTCAGGTTTATCTTAATGTATCAGACTAAATGCATGTAGGAGCCTTTCAGCAGCAACTTTCATTTTGTTTATTGACTAGAAGGTATAAATATGTGTAAAGGGAGAAGTTAAAATGTGCTGCTTGGGGTGGCAGGGTGGAGAAAAATTATTCAATTAGATTGAAAAACTAAAATATTTTCAAGGTGACTCTGAATTCCTTTCTGGACTTCAGAAAGACTTTAGACCTAACTGTTTGACTGGTTGACCTTTCTCTTTGTGAACCATGCTGTCGTCTTGACATGAAGGAAAGCAAAGCAAGTGAAGGTATTGCTTGCACCTCTACTTCTTTTTTCACACATCATGAGTGGAAAAGTCAAGGTAAATTCAAAGTAAACTTCATTATTCTAGAATTGGTGGGGCTGTCATA